CCCCCCACCCACACAGTCACATGTCTCCTCCCACTCTCACCCAGCAGCACTGTCACATGTCTCCCACCCCCACCCTACACAGTCACATGTTTACCATCATGACCCTACACAGTCACAAAGTCTCCCTCCCTCACCCCCTACACAGTCACATGTCTCCTCTCCCCCAGCCCTGCACAGTCACATGTGTCCCACTCCACCCTACACAGTCACATGTCTCCTCCCTCCACCCACACAGTCACATGTTTCCCATCCTGACCTAGCAGTCACATGTCTCCCATTCCACCCCTGTACAATCACATGTCTCCCATCCTCCACCCATACACAGGCAAATGTCTGCCACCCCCACCCAGCAGTCACATGTCTCCCACCCTCACCCCCACCATACACAGTCACATGTTTCCCCACTCCACCCTACACAATCACATGTCTCCCACTCCACCCTTCAGTCACATGTCTACCACTCCACCCTACACAGTCACACGTCTCCCACCTCCACCCTACACAGTCACATGTTTCCCCATCCACCCACCTTACACAGTCACATGTCTCCCACCCTCACCCTACATAGTCACATGTCTCCCACTCCACCCTACAGCAGTCACATGTCTCCCACCCCACCCTACACAGTCACATGTCTCCTCCTTTCCACCCTACACAGTCACACGTCTCCCACCTCCACCCTACACAGTCACATGTCTGCCATCGTCACCCTATACAGTCACGTGTCTCCCATCCTGACCCTAGCAGTCACATGTCTCCCATCGTCACCCTATACAGTCACGTGTCTCCCATCCCGACCCTACACAGTCACATGTCTCCCACCCTCACCCTACACAGTCAAATGTCTCCCACTACACTCCACACAATCACATGTCTCCCATCCCCACCCTACACAGTCAAATGTCTGCCACCCCCACCCTACATAGTCACTTGTCTCCCACCCTCACCCTACACAGTCACATGTCTCCCACCCCCACCCTACACAGTCACAAGTCTCCCACTCCACCCAACACAGTCACATGTCTCCCACTACACCCTACACAATCACATGTTTCCCATCAGCGACCCTACACAGTCACATGTCTCCCACCCTCACCCTACACAGTCACACGTCTCCCACCCTCACCCTACACAGTCACATGTCTCCCACCTACACCCTACACAGTCACATGTCTCCCACCCCCACCCTACACAGTCACATGTCTCCCACCCCCACCCTACACAGTCACACGTCTCCCACCCTCACCCTACACAGTCACATGTCTCCCCACCCCCACCCTACACAGTCACATGTCTCCCACCCCCACCCTACGCAGCTGATGTTTCTCACCGAACCCTGCATATTTACATGTCACCCTTCGTTAAACAACCTCTATTCTAGAGATGTCTGTAGAGTCTTTTGTTCCATTCTTCCAGTCGAGTTAATATATAAAAACACTCATAAATAGTAAGGTGGATGTTCTTGTACACCGGGAGTATTCATGACTTCATGAGATTCAAGTAGGCCCCTTTGGGATGCTTTCATATCACAGTTACCGTTATTTTAGCTCAAGATCTCCTCGGTCTTCTACAACATTGTGTGTTAGCGAGGTTAATGTGTAGTTTATGAAGTGTGTTGGAGTACGCTGACATATTATAGTTTAATGAATGCGGGCAAACAATCGACTTCCTCACTGAAACTACGCAGCAACTCCGCAAAACTTTTAGAACCGTAAAGGCGTGAATCCTTTCAGAAGGAAAAATGTATGGTAAATATTAATAACAAAGTTCTAACAATATATCCCCAGCGTTCCTAACTTTGGCTGATTTACAAGGTTCTCTATAATCTACAGAGTTATCACCGACTTCAGCTGACTAGAAAATAGAAACCAAGACGTATATGATATTTACGGTAATTATTTTACAAACAGAAATCATTTTCCAATAATTTGACTGAAAATCCATTATAATCCTGGTCTTGTATTTGCCCTCAATTCATTAAGAAAGAGTCAAGAGACAAAAAGTCTGTTCAAATTCGCTGGAGGTGGTAATAAGCTATTTCAGCTTACGCTCAAGATGATCCCAGAGTTGTTCCATGCGGTTCATGTTTGGAAACGCAGTGTTGACGTTGACGTTGTTGTGCAGGTAATTATGGCGGTGTTAGGCTTTGCGCTTGTCGAGCTACAAAATTACTCTTATTGGCTGTTAAAATAAATAAAGAGCACCACATAAGTTCCAAACACTCCATCCCTGTATCGCTGGGTATTCAGATTTCCTCGGATGGTGACATGTTTCGTTTCGCCGCCCGTACCATGACGCCTTCTCCATTGAACGGATGAAATTCTTGATCGCAGTTTGGCGCCAGTCGCGCTCCTACATAAATAAAACTCGAGCTCTGCCATTGTTTCTAACCGACTTTCATCTGTGAAGAGCACTCTCGAACCCGGGTCTTCGGTGTGACGGGCGGACACTTTGTCCACTAGGCTACCCCACCGCCCCTGACTTAGAGGAAAAAACCGCATCCTTTCTTTACGTTACGTTCTTTAGCCGGCAATACTTAACTGCTTACGCGTGTGGTAATGTTTTAAAGAATGCCTATCCCTTATTAATAACTCATTTCCTAGTATTTCAATTTGACTTTTGATGAATCACCAATCTTCCATTGATGTTAATCAATATCAGATTTCTATACGTTAGTAAAATGTACAGGAGAACTAAAGCCAAACTAAAGGTTTTTAGCAACAGTGGAGCTGCAAATATTCCTCTCTAGTTCTCCCAAGGTGCATCTTGGGAATAATAAGGAATATTAACACTAATTCTTCTGCTGCATTTTTAATTTACTTTTTTATTAGTTTTAGTCCAGTTGTTTGAGCTTGTGTCATCCGTTGCCCTCGTATAAGCAATGATTATATTCGAATATGTACTTTTATTAAGTGTCAGGTGATTTCGTTAAATGTGGGTCACCATAACCCAACGTCGTTGCATACAGTATCAACTATCCGACTTCTTGTTTATTAAGAAATTATTTAGAGAACGCTGTCATATCGCTGCAGTGTTGTTGAGTGTGGCGCCTAATTGCCAGTTCCATTCTAGGTGATGTTACCTGTGAAGGTCCGGGGTAAAATATTGATCTTCAGCAGCCCATTCTTGTCGTAAGAGGCGACTAGAGGGATCGGGTGGTCAGGCTCGCTGACTTGGTTGACACATGTCATCGGTTCCCAATTGCGCAGATCGATGCTCGTGCTGTTGATCACTGGATTGTCTGGTCCAGACTCGATTCTTTACAGACCGCCGCCATATAGCTGGAATATTGCTGAGTGCGGCGTAAACCTAAATTCATTCACTCACTCACTCTTCTTAACTAGTTTCATTCCAGTCACATGCAGCGCTATCTATTTTGTGTTCAAAGCTACCCATATCTTGCTGGGTGGTTTTCAAGATGATCTCATTGAAAGTGGACATGGACAGATGGAAGTGTCATCAGTCCAGCCATCAGTCCAGATCTTAACAAAAGTATTTACATCCAGAATATCACAGCCAGGTAATCATTAAGCGTGTGTAGTGAAATTTCAATTTCATACGTGCAACTCGCACACCTGGCTGTTCTACCAGCAAATGGTCCTCCTCGTAAGATAAATAGCGAACAGTGACAACAAAATAATGATCGTTTGTTAAACAATTTTTTATTCGGGTGTCCAAAATTATTAGACAAATCCTCAGAGTTGGTGTGTCGATTTCATGTGACTGTGCAAAATTTGGTTTTGTTGCAATTATTAGATTTTCTGTAAGTGAGCTATTCATCGATCTCAGATGAAATCAAACGGTCTGTAGCAATGAGCACAGACCTACATGTACACCTTTGCATGTTTATGGCATGACAGGGTGGTGGGTTATTCGGCATCACAGGTCGCTAACCAGGTTTCTCAAAGACTGTCCGTAGCGATAACAGGGTGATTCGGTGCCTTTTGCATTCCTGATACGTATTTGGAAAGGCGAAATCATTCCGGATTGTAACACTAATCTGGAACCAAGAACTGGGACACGACTGACAATATTCTGAATACATATGAGTGCACTAAAAAATCTACATAGCTGTTTCTATTGCTGTTGCTTGTTATTTGTACTGAGATGTTTTATTCCATAAAACTCTTTGCTTTGAATAAAATGTTTTGTTAGTTTTTTTTAACTTTTCATTGGTTCTATGAGTTCTGTGTACCGACATCATAAAGTTAATTTTATATAATCATGCGTATTTTGCAGTTCCGTTTCCAATGAAAAAAATAGAAATAGGTCAAATGTTATTTTGATGTCATTTGAGATCAATTATAGAGCAATCTGTGGATTTTCAAAACACCCATTGGATAATTTCATCAACTAATTTTTTTCAGCTTGAAGCAAACTAGTCATTGTTGCTCTGTCATGGACAAATGTCACAGCTGTTTTGACTAGGTACAGGGCATGGAACACATATCTAAAGAAGACAGTATCATAGTCGGGTACATACAAATACGATTAGGTGTATAGTTAACATATTCAAGGGCAACTTATGACTAGAATCGAACAACGATGGGTTAAAATATGGTAGTGGCTAGCGAGCCCCTTCCAACTCGAAATAATGTAAAGAGTTCCACAGAAGTATCTTCATTTACAAAAGTGGAATATATACTGCGGATGCCACTTTAGATAATTGTTGGGGCCTAGTCCTCCAGATATCTGAGATGATTGGAATCATTTAAAGATAGATGATTCCTGTGGAGGCAAATTTGAAAAATAATGAAAAACATCACAATTCCGTGTGAGTAGACACGCCAGCATACCCTAATTAGCAAAGTGAGGCATTCCTAGCGATGTTATGAATTATTCAAGGTCTCCATCAGATGTCCTCTTGTTGGCATTACTAGGTGATCAATTGATCATTTCTATTCATTGTTCCTTTATAATAATTCCATGACGTCAAGTGTCATGTGACTGTCACGTGTCTACATCCTTGACACTGCTCATATAAAGGACAACTATACTAATAGAATCTGCATAACGCTTTGGGTCGTGAGGATAACAGTTTGATCATGGATTTAGCGATGGTTCTTGTGCTGCATGGGATGCAACTGGCCTCCCTACCACCCGGTGTCCCCGTCTCGTCAAGAGGAGACTGTGCATCTAGATGTTATCATCAACGGAACTGTTCCTCTGTCGTCTATGATGGTAGCACCATGAAATGTCATCTCTCCACTGAAGTGTACCTGGATGGTGTCTTGACGAGCACCCTGAACAACATGCAGTATCTTGTATGGACACGGGGTATGTTCAAACCTTACTCTTAGCTCATATATAACAAGTGTCATTGTATTAAGGGCATCGTTAAAGATAAAAGTATAGGTGGAATAGGTTAAGAGAGGATGAGTGGGCTCAGTTTGATTGAATTGGAGTGGTGAGATCTGGTGTGGTCTGGTGTGTGTGTGTTGACAGGTCAACAACAGCTGAGGATTCCTTTCCGTAATATTATCTCCTTGCTCAATCAAGATTTAAATGTTTACTTTTGACAGTTCCAAAAGCATAAAAATGTCTCTGACTTACTCAACCAATGATGATCGTTTTATCAAAGTCATTTTCTGTTTTGTTGCGAACTTCTGAAATATAACTTTCGATTGAAACAACGTACGTTTATCTCCAAAGAGTAACTACTCCAAGGGTTTACATCACAACACCCAAGCCAAATGGACAAATTTGGCAGAATATCTATCTGTAGTTAAAATCAATATATACTCTCCCAAAAAGAAACGCATATAGAATTTCAACTGTATTGTTATGTTTATTTTGAAACATCTTGTAGGCTTTATGAGTCAATGAAATATAGCGAAATTGCACACTGGGAATGCAGACTTATCCGTCTTTGGCACCAACTCGAGGAAAGTCAGTTTGAGTCTCACATGGCGACTTGTGGTGGCGCTGAAGTCAATACCTCGTGTGACCACCGTGGGCATCCAGAACTGCACGGCATCGCCTCGGCATCGAACGAATAAGTCTCAGAATCTCGTGTTGCCCAATCGCAGCCCACTCTGCCTGTAGTGCCTGTGCGAGTTGCTGAAGTGTCTTGGGCTGAGGGTTACGGCGTCGCACCCGTCTGTCCAGGGCATCCCACAGATGTTCGATCGGGTTTAAGTCCGGTGATCTTGAGGGCCAGGGGAGCACATTGATGTTGTGGTTCTGGAGGAAGTCTCTAGTGTGACGTGATGTGTGGGCCTGGCATTGTCCTGTTGAAACAACTCCCTCTGGCGATCAATGATTGGAAGGAGGTGTGGGCGTAGGATTTCGTCACAGTACCGTTGAGCTGTCAGGTTGCCTTGGATCATCACCAAATCACTTCTCCTACGGCAGGTGATCGCTCCCCACATCATAACTCTGCTTTCCCGGCCGAATCTGTCCACCTGGGGAACGCAAGCGTCGGCGAAACGTTCACGTCGACGTCTGTACACCCGCATTCTTCAATCGCGTCGTTCCAATAGAAATCGTGATTCATCACTGAACCAGATTCTACGCCAATTCGGTAGGTTCCAGGCCTGAACGTTGGTGCACCATTGAACTCGATGTCGACGATGTTGTTGTCGAAGCACAGGGCCACAATAAGGTCTTCTGGCACGTAAACCAGCCTCTCTCAACCTGTTCCTGACGGTCTGTGCAGAAAGCCTCCTCAATCCGGGTATTTGTCGAGCAGTACTGGTCGCCGTAGCTGTTCGATGACGCAGGTGATGTACCCGGATGTAGCGATCCTGCGCCGCAGTGGTCGCTCGAGGTCGCTCACTACGAGGGGCATCTGCTAATGCATTCTGCCGGCGATATCTCTCCCAGAGCCATGAAATGGTGCTTTGGTGAACATTCATGCGTCGGGCAACTGCACGTTGAGACTGGCCAGCTTCAAGCAAACCAATGGCGATATGACGGTTGGCTTCACTTAGACATGGCATTTTGCGTTCGTCAACAATATTCCAAATACAGTGAATAATCGACAGACAGCGATCAACCTTTTATACCCATCATTGAGACTATCAGATCCCCAACTTTCAAGTGCATTACATGTGAATTGTGTATTCTGTGACACTACACGCCGAAATTGAAAATCATGCTGTTAAATACGTTTAATACTTTACGGATGGTGCGTTTTGTTGTGATTTTTCAAAACATAAACACCACAGGACTCATAAACAGAGCAAAACCTTTTGTAAAATGAATCACGTTTTAATTTATTGCTACATGAAATTGCTATTTTCATGATGCGTTTCTTTTTTGGGGAGAGTATATATTTGATTCTTACCATTTTCTTTTTGAATTCACCCAGTAAAGCAACATTGACCTAATCTTCAGGGAGGGAATTATAAATACTTATTGTAACCAGGACAAAAGATTTTGAGGAACTACTTGTTTTCCATTTCATACTTTATAGATTAGAACTGTTTCTTAACATATACTCGTTTGTGACGGGGAATAAAGACAACCCGTTAATAAATTATTAACCATTTTAGGAAACACATTCAGCTTTCCAATAAATATCCTTTTTCTCACGAAGTGATATTTACTTTCGAATATAGTTTGTCATGGCGTATGCCACGAACGGCCCATCACTCCTGAGACAGTCATCGAACTAATCATTTGAATTACATTTTGTTTTGACTATGCCACATGCAATCTTGTTGAAGGATTATTCATAAATCTTTGTAGTACTTAGTGGATAATAGCGTTAGAAAATTATTAGACCTGGTTTTGCATGAGAAATCAGTTCACTTGTAAAGTATGTTAAAATTGTCTTAAGATTAAAATCGACCCGTGAAGATCCGGGGTAGAATAGGTCTTCAGCAACCCATTCTTGTCATAAAAGGCTTACTATGCTTGTCGTAAAGGTGACTAACGGGATCGGGTGGTCAGGCTCGCTGACTTGGTTGACACATGTGTCATCGGTTCCCAATTGCGCAGATCAATGGTCATGCTGTTGATCACCGGATTGTCTGGTCCAGACTCGATTATTTACAGACCGCCGCCATATAGCTGGAATATTGCTGAGTGCGGCGTAAAACTAAACTCACTCACTCACTCACTAAGATTAAAATCACCGTGCCATTCTGTAGAACAGTGGGCTATTTTGGAGACATTGTACTGGCACATTAGGATCGCTAATCACCATGTAAACAAATGTGTTACTCTCTATGTCTTCTAGAATATTGCTTGACATAGATTATAAACAATAGCGGTACTTGGACGGAGCCTTAAAGGGACACATCTACAGCTGGTCTAAATTCTGGTAATGTTTTCTATCACCATCCTACACAAGTTCACATTTCTCCTAGATCCATCGTACACCGTACAGACAATAATAGTATTATTCCCTCAACCACTATGCCATTTCTGTGCACCACATTGTCTAGTAACTCCTTTGGAAATCCTCTTGTGGCGTTGTCACATTGTCACTTGCTGCCCTTACAAATTGGTGAGTGAGTGAGTTAACATGTTACATCGCGTCGGCAATATTACAGCCATATAGCGATGAAAACAAGGTAATCACTTGAAAATATCTGTCGACAAATGAGAAAAACAAGAAAGTGTATAAATTAACCTAAGCGAGACAATTAAAAAACGAAATAAACTGAACGACAAAAGAAATGTTACACCTCTTAACATTAGAATATCCTAAAATGTTATATGGATAGAAGACTTTGGTTTGGTATGTTTTAACAACCAATCAAGTAACTCTATTGAGTCAAAACATCAGACTGAGGAATTCATTGATAATTAGGATATCGAATTGTTTGTTTAGGTGGGGTCCATTGTCCTATTTTCATTCATGTAACAATTCAAATCAAAAGTATAAAAAACAGTTAAAAATGGGTCCAAATGATATTGTTTATGATGATAAAGCATGCACATTCACAAAGAGTGATAAAGTTGGGTTTTGATATGAAAGAATGGTTGTTTACCGTAAAAGAGACCCAATGCTGAAATTGGATTTTTGTATCTTTAAAACACATTCCAACCACTTGAGGTTTAATTTTTGGATCATCATGACTTTCGACTGTTTTAGGAAGAGTCGTCAAACGAGAAAAAGACTAATTTTTTCCCTTAGATACTGTACAATTTTGCCTGTTTCTGTCCTTGTATAAGGAAGCATAACGCTAAAACGTACCCATTGTAACTTCACCTTGCATGAAATGCACGTGTAAACTGTTGGAAACAGGTATATTATAAGGCCCCTAGATTTATCATTTCACACCATACATTCACTACAATGCCGAGATTAACAGCAGAAGAGCGGGAGAGGGACATTGGAATGCTGCAGACTGGGTCGACTGATCGGGAAGTGGCTGCTACATTCGGGTGTCATCGCCTCACCATTCTAAGGCTGCGTCAGCGATTCCAGGACAACTAGAGACAGACCCAGAAGCGGGAGGCCACCAGTTACAACCCCTAATGAAGACCGCTACCTCCGTCAACTCCACCTACGGAACAGGTTTCAAAACAGCCACTGCGTCTGCTAGTACAGCTCTTGGACGCCGTATAAGTCCCCAAACAGTGAGAAGAAGACTCCAACAACACGGACTGGGGCCATACCAGCCGATGCAAACAGTACAGCTGACACGCCAACAACTACAAAACAGGGTTGCTTGGGCCAGAAATGTCAGACGTTGGCAGAACCAAAATTGGCAGAGGGTGCTTTTTTCTGACGAAAGCCGGTTCCAGCTGCACAGAGCGGACGGGAGAATACGGGTCTATCGTCGCCGGAGTGAAAGAGAGGCACACTGCTGTGTACAGGAAGTCATACCCTTTGGATGAGGCAGCGTTATGGTTTGGGGCGCTATAAGCGGCGACACGAAATCCAACCTCGTTGTGATCGACGGCAACCTCACCGCACAGAGGTACATCAACAGGGTCCTACAGCCAGAGGTCCTCCCATTCCTCCAGCAGAATCCTAACACCCTCTTCCAACAGGACAATGCTCGTCCTCATGTAGCCAAACAGACGTTACAGTTTCTCAACGCCAACAACGTTCAGATTTTGCCTTGGCCTGCCAGATCGCCGGTCATGAACCCTATTGAACACCTCTGGGATTACATCGATCGTCGGATCTGGTTACGTCAGCAGCAGCCACATACACGTCAACACATGATTGCTGCTCTGATGGATGAGTGGGGGCAGATTCCAGCTGCTTTCATCCGACGTTTGACGTATTCTGTTAGGCGACGAGTTCAGGCATGTTTCAATGCCAACGGGGTCATACCAGATACTAATCAAAAAGAGTATTTCATTAAAATCTTGCTTTTTCAATGTCTCTTTTGTTTTTTGTGATTGATCGAAAACGGAACAATGGATACCACTCTTACTCACATGGGTCATAAGTGACTTATACAAAAAACATCATCAGTTACTCTTCTTATGAAATGAAGAATGAATCTATATGACACACACAAATCGTCTCTCTAACTTGAAATCGTTGGGAAAATATTTACACATGAAGAGGTGTAACATTTCTTTTGGCGTTCAGTTTATTTTGCCACATACCTCATCATCGCAATGCCGCATGTCCTCGTTTTCAAAAATACTTTATATTTTACGAAAATGTGACAATGCAACATTGCAACAGTTTATCAAAGGCAAAATATGTCACCTTGTCGTTTTGTCGCCCCACTGTCAAAATGCGTTAGAAATGTATTAAAATGCAACAACGTGTTAATATCCCCTCTACGAAACACAGACATCTTTGTGTATGAGTTATATCACCATGACAGCGTAGTATTCTTCCTCAGATGACTGCGACAAGGGCTACACGTGGTACCGAAGCCTAGGCCTCTGCTACAAGATCTACAACTCAACGAAAACCTGGTTTCAAGCCAACCATACATGCCATCAAGACGGCGGACATCTCATCAAAGTGGACAGTGCTGGCATCAATGCATTTGTGAACAAGATATCGGATTATTATTGTAAGTTGCTAGGTGGCAATACATATAAAATCAACCTCTTAAAAGTATAGTTCTAACTTGATATCTGATGTTTGTAAAGACATAGACGGGCATACACGGCATACAGCCAGACAATCATAGATATTCATAGTAATTCCAACACAAAAGATATGTCCGACACATCAACGTCATCACTCTAATATCAACAAATCATTTTCATTATCCTTTTAGGAGGGTGGTTTTCATTTCATTTTATTACACAACGAAGGAAACACTGAAAAAGACTAGACTGCCTCATTTGGCGAGAGATTTGTTTCTGTTTATACCTTATTACAGTGAGAATCGTTGTGTTAAATTTGTTTCGTGTTTTTTTGCAACAATCAGCACTTTGTCAAACATTTGACTTTCCCCCAATCTATTTCCACATTTTACCAACACATGGTCAGTACAGGTCATGACAGTTCTGTCCAAGGTTAATAGAAAAGAACATTGCGTCATAGATGCCACATGAAAATCTTTTCTGTTTTTTGGGCAATTCCCATTCAGCCGCATTCAGCGCCAGTAGATATCTATGTTTGTTTTCACAGCGGCCCATATCTGGCTGGGTGGTTTTAAAGATGATCTCAGTGGAAGGTGGACATGGACAGATGGAAGTGTCATCAGTCCAGCCTACTGGATGGATGGTCAACCAAGCACAGAAGCAGAAAAGTGCATCGAAGTGAACAGAGATTCTCGAACAAACTCGATAAGAAGCTGGAATGATGCCCCCTGTATATTTTACCTCATGTTTGTGTGTCAGCTGCCTCTGAAAGAAGAGTCTTACTGTTGACAATGGGCAATAATACAACTGCTGTCAGCAAAATATGCTCAAATATGATGCTGCAAACGTCAAACTAAACAAATCCACTACCATGTAACTTTTCACCTCCTCGATATTCACTGATTGAATTGTTCCAGTTTCAGCCACGTTTGTCTCGTTCTTAGAGCATATGGTTCGACTTCATCCTTCAGTACGACAAACAAATGTCATCAGTCCAGACTTCTGGGACGATGGTGAACCAAGCACAGAAGCACAGAAGTGCGTTGGGGTACACAAATTGTATATAAGCGCGATAAGGCGGTTGAATGATTTCTACTGTACAGATGATGACATTCCCATGTTTGCGTGTCAGCTGCCTCTGAAGGAAGAGCTTTACTGTTGACAATGGGAAACAACACAATTACTTTCACCAAAATGATACTGCAGTTACAGTCACAGTTATATATCAGTTCATGTGACACTCAATATACCGACCGCCTCCGTGGTGTAGTGGTTAAAGCGTCCGCCCAGAGAGCGGAAGGTCGTGGGTTCGATCCCCGACCGCATCATACCAAAAGACGTTAAAATATGGTACTTGTTGGTCCCTGCCTGGCGCTCGGCATTATTGGGTACAACAAGGACTGGTCGGCTAGGAGTCAGTATAATATAATGTGTCTGAGTGGGGTATTCATGCTTCACTGCGGAATGGTATCTCAGTGGGCTAGCACTATAAAACCAGCTTCAGTCTGGGCTAGTACAAGCAGCCGCAAATACACATACACACGCATGCACGTCGTCATATGAGCGAAATATTCTCAAGTACGACGTAAAACCCAATTTCACCTCACCTCACCTCAATATGCCAGTCATATAAAAGTAACAACCTTACCGAATATGAGATGAGAGTAAAGCCATATTAATAAAACAGTATTACTGAATTCCCTTTACAGAAACTAAATTTGAAACGTGGATTAATTGCTATGTGGATTTCTTAAAAGAGATTGGCTTGGAGTTTTGCAATTGCAGAAAATAACAACTATATGGAGATAGTTATAGAAATGTACAACTTCTCAACTTCTAATAGTCTGCGATGTTTCGATGTTGGTACCAACACTGTTATCGCGCATTTGATGTGCTCTACTGTTGGTAAAGCATGTATATACATAATTATGATTATTTGTATACAGTTAATGTCATCAAGGGTTACATTATAAGTTGTTCACTGGTCTCGAGGGGGACATTACCTGATGTACCCTCGATGTTTGTGTATGTTTGTGAACAGAAAGAAACATCGAGAGTACATCAGCCCATGGGCCCCGAGGGACCAGTGAACAACGTATTTATCATTCGCAAACCATTGGTAATTTCCGTACATCATACGTGATTCAATGTTATTTGAGATAAAGAATTACTACTACGAAGTACCAATTGTGTTCGGCATTCCCAGCGGGGTACATAGAAAATGTCACTCGCTTGTAAACGAAGTACATTGAAAATAATAGAAAAGCGCTCAGCCAATCAGGAAACGACATTTATGTGTGATACAAGAAAAAGTATCAAATATAAGTTTGAATCTATTGTTCTTAAGCAACCAGAGGTCAGTGTAGGTGTATTGATATTGCACACGTGGTGTCGTGCATAGTAACGAATTTGACTAATGTCTGTACCACGCCTGATTTTACATTTGACTCTGTTCAGGTGAAGTATATACAGAAATCCAAATCGATCCATTATCGATTGGCCTGATCGAATTTCAATTTCGGTATTCAGCAAATGGACTGATCCTGTGTCAACTACGCATGTCTCGATCTCAAAACGTGTGGGTCGACGTTTGGTCTTTCATTACGACAACGCCTTAACTCGTCATGTTCGAACAGTCAATACTCCCCTCCACATCTTTAAATTGTCAAAGCCAGCAGTGAGCACAGACCTTCAGTAATGATCCCAGACTTTCTGCCATTGAACACGTTCATGACAAGCAACGGAGGTGTATCAATCAGAGTCAGAGGACGTCGACTGCGTTGGAGAACGTCTCCACCACTCAAAGGTGAAATGGGGACATAGTAACTCAAATCGCCCTTGGGAGGTTGACATGCAACATGCCTCGTCTTGTCATAACGTGGCGGTATGTCTCATTATAAATACACAAACGCCAACTTTACAATTCCCATCTTACCTCGGTCATTCTATAGCGATAAGAAGCCGAGAGGTCTTTTGCATTCTAATGTTCATTGTGAATAGAAAAGACAAAACCCTTTCCACATCCGTGAGAAATCTAGTCGATTGTACAATTCTCACCATATCATGACTGCGTGCTTGTTCCACTCCGTTTTACATCGCTGGTGATATTATAGGCTTCATTTACTTAAAGCTAACGGGGATTTCTTTATTGGATAGGGTAATTCAAGGCCTATTTCATTCGATGCCTGTTTGGAGAAGCCGAACTCATTCCAGACTGTAACAGTATTCTGTATTCACAAATTATTTCTGAATACATATGGGTGCAAAAACAAAACATTAATTTAGATAGCCTGATTCTTATTGACGTTGCTTCTTATTTGTACAGAGTTGGGTTATTTGTATTGTACACAATAAAACCATTCCCTTCAATACAAATCATTGTCTTTTCATTGAATTTACTACTAGTGAGTGAGTGAGTGAGTTTAGTTTTACGCTGCACTCAGCAATATTCCAGCTATATGGCGGTGGTCTGTAAACAATCGAGTCTGGACCATACAATCCAGTGATCAACAGCATGAGCATTGATCTGCGCAATTGGGAACCGATGACACATGTCAGCCAAGTCAGCCCGACTGACTACCCCATTCCCGTTAGTTGCCTCTTACGACAAGCATGGGTTACTGAAGGCACATTCTAACCCGGACCTTCACGGATCGAATTTACTACCAACACAATGAGGTTCTGAGTATCAATTTCTGGATTAACACAAGCCTCTCTGTTTTGAAAGTACTGTGGTTCAGTAATAGATGTTACCGATTAATCATCATAAAATCATAAAAGCCATCTGTATGTAATGTTCTAAAGCCATCTGTATTTTACGAGAAAATGATTCATTAAGAAAAGTCACATAGCTGAACTCCTTTTCCAGTGGCAAGTATATTTACGGAAAACATTTTTTTGATGTAATTGGGGTAAATTATAGAGCATTCGCTGTTTTTCAGATTACCTATTGGATCATTTCATCAAGGAAATTATTGCAGGCAAGTAGGAAGGTCCTTGCTGCTTTGTCTTGTTAAAATGTCACTGCTGTTTTGACTAAGAAAGGGGCATAGAACATATATTTGTTTTAAAGCAGGGCATATATAGAGAATCGCACCCAAGTGTCTTCTGATATCAATTGTATCAACACCAGTTGATAAAGTTACAAATATCCGAGGCTAGCGGAGGATATTTTAACTTTTATCAACGAGTGTTGACATATTTGATATCACAAGACACGAGGGTGAGATTCTACACTAGCGCCAAAAGAAGCGTTACCCTCCTTCCTTAATGACGGAGGTACCTATCTTCAGCTGGCGTTGTAATGCGTGGACGTCCACTTCTTGGTCTGTCTGCGGTTATCCCAGTCTGTCTTGAGCCCTGAATAAGTCTTATAACCGTGATACGGTGGCATCCGAGGGCGTTGGCAACAGCATTCTATGTCGACCGCATCTGCACCATCCCAATGGTTCTTTCACTCCCTTCAGCTGTTAATCGTGGCTTATTTCTCGTACTTGTGTATCAGATCATGTCTTCTAGGCTCTCTTTATACCCTATAGAATCATTCTGCATGTGAAATGGATGCAAATACTTTTTTGAATATTGCTGCGTTTGGGGGATTGATATTGATATGTGTATAATGGAAATGGAAAAATGTTACTTTGCAAGCAAAAATGTTAACAAAGATAATTGTAGATGTTCCTAAACATTTTTTCACAATATCAAAAACACGTTTTACTTGTTTTCACTAATGCAAATCAGCAGAAAATGTTTTAAAAGACTGAAATCATAGCAATGATTATTTTAAAATGTTACATTCTATACAACAGTTGTTTCTTGTTTTAAGAGTTGGAAAATGGTGACTTTAAATGGTTTATCATTGTCCCAAAGCAGAATTTTATTTCAACCTTTCACTATTATTGGCTTATTTCGGCACGGACGAATATAGTACAATTTAACTCTTCTGAAAAAGATCCATTTAACCCACATATGAATGCATTGGATGATTTTTTTCGTGATTTGCATAAAGCTGTGTTGTTAATCTTTCTTGTAAACTAAAACCTTCTAAAATATCTTTGATACTTTTTCAGAAATTCATAAAGGTAGGAGGGTAACGTTTCTTTTGGCGTCTAGTGTATTTATCATCCAAAATCACTCTTCTGTTACGGTTAATAATGTGCCGTGACAAAAGGATTTAAAGTCCCCTTTGAACCGGCAAAATAGAACACAAAAAGTCTAAAATATTTAATAATATATTGAGCAAACAATGAGCAAGCTACAATGAATGACAATACAGATATCTAGTACAATGCAATTGAGTCACGAATCTATAATATTGGGTCACAAATATAAGATATCACTCACCAGAGTCTTGACAGTTACAGTGAGAGCAGATATACCGATTGAAGGTAGTTTACAATGACATTGTGTTGAATATAGACGAGCACAGTCAGTCTTGAAATGTAGGTCAGACGATGACGATGGCAGACAGATGTACACAAATCCAGTCATGTAAAACAACCAGCCTTTATATAGCTCTTACACAGTTCTCGATCATTTTAGTAAAGATAGGCTGCATCATTATCCATGCAGTGCAACGCTCTCATAGCATTGTGGCGTCTTCAAGTTCATGACGTCATAGCATTGTCAGGGCATTGTACAAAATCTACTGTCACACAAGCAATATCTCCTATGGAACACAGTTTTGGATGATAAACATCAACGTATTCATGGGTCTCCTATGACTGGACGCAATCAACGAGACATGGGTTGGAAACGGCAGTGACTAGCGATCCTCCTTCTAATACGAATTGCAGTTAAAGTTTCCTTGAATTAACTTGCAAAGGTGAAACGAATACGCCACTATAGATCATAATTGGGTTTTTTCGTTCTTCTGAGAAATCTTGTTTTTGGAACTTCTATATATATTAGAGTGGTTGATATCGATGAACGAGTGATGGTTTGAATAATGGGAAAGACTCCATTAACGAGATGAGATTGGCCTTCTTCCAAACGATTACAATGTCTGTTCCCGAAGGAGTTTTAAGTCATGTAAAGGAGTGGTAGTGATACTATAATGCACTGAATCAGAAATAACTGCATGGTTATCATTATTTGCAGACAATAAACATTCGTTCCTGCCTACTTTGTGTAAACAATCGTAACTTTTATCGATTGATCGACAATAGACTTGAGGATCACCATTTCGCTTCAGCGTATTCCTTTCCACAACAGACATTTCCAGCATGTCTTTAAATTTACATTCAATGTAACAACTTAATCCCTCTCCAGCCAAATATTTCTCAAATCCACAATACAATCCTTGTATAATAAAAAAAACCAATTCAACACCTTATTATATCTGTGAAAAAAATGATCGAATCCATAAAACAAGCCTTAAGTCAAAACCCATTTCAGTGAGTAGACACGCCACCATTACTTAATTAGCAAACTTGATGTGAAACGTTATGAAGCTATGTGTGCTTATTTACAATGTCCCATGGAGTAAGGAATGAAGATTGGTTCTTTAAGAGCAGTTGTAATCTACGCAATCCTCAGTTTTGTGCGATGCGATGCACACTGTTCCTTCACTATGGTGTGATTAAGAGGACACCATCAACATTAAGGCCTTTTATAATCATTATATCACCTCTCATCATGCACCAATGATTTCTCCTTTATGACAACTGGGGTTCGAGTCAGTCACTAGGGCTGCATCTTGAGTCCTAACCGGCAGGATCATGTATCCTCTAGGTGGGAATTTTAGGTGTTCAGTTTTCCTTCAAAACAATTTTCCTTGACAACAAGTATCATGTGATTGTCATATGCTAAGATCATGAAATATACTCATATATATGACGACTATACTCAAAGATAACACTTTGATAATGGGTTTAACAATGGTTCTTGTGCTTTATGGGATACAACTTGCCTCCCTACCACCCGGTGTCCCCGTCTCTTCAAGAGGCGACTGTGTGTCTAACTGTTACCTTCAGAGGAACTGCTCATCTGTCTTCCATGATGGCAGCACCAACAAGTGTCAGCTTTCTGCCGAGGTGTTCCTGCAACAGGACTTTACAAGCACACCAAACAACATGCAGTATTTGGAATGGAGAAGAGGTATGTTCAAACCTTACTATGCTCACATATAACACATATATTACATCATATATCACATATATATCGTCTGCAGGTAAAGGTATAAGTTAGGAGACTGACTGACTGAGTTTGGTTTTACGCCGCTTTTAGCAATATTCCAGCAACATCACGGCGGGGGACACCAGAAATGGGCTTCACACATTGTACCCATGTGGGGATTCAAACCCGGGTCTTCGGCGTGACGAGCCAACGCTTTAACCACTAGTCTACCCCACCGCACCTTATAAGTTAGGAGAGGTTAGAGAGGGATAATGATGTCTTTCCATGATATTTTTTCTTTGCTCAAACAAGATTGAAATTATCAATTCTCACAGATAGGTTTTGGCATCAGTCTATCACTCATTTTAATCCAGTGATTATCTTGCATACTTTACAAACTGATAAAATGAAATGATATGGGAGACTGAATCGTAACCTTACTCATGGCCAAAGGAATTTCTCTCTCACACATCCTGGAGACCCGGAAGATCCGGGTTATAATTGGTCTTCAGTAACCCATGCTTGTCGTAAGAGGCGCCTAACGGGATCGGGTGGTCAGGCTTGCTGACTCTGTTGACACGTGTCATCGTATCCCAATTGCGTAGATTGATGCTCATGCCGTTGATCACTGGAGTGTCTTGACCAGACTCGATTATTGACAGACCGCTGCCACATAGCTGGAATATTGCTGTGGCGGAAAACTCATCTCACTCACTCACTCTTACATCGTGGAATAGACTAGTCTTTTTTGGAAGTTGCTCCTTGAATGTATGGTGATGTTAAACATTAAGCAGACAACATATTGTTGTGTGAAAATGACAATAAATGTCCCTGATGTACCAGGATTAATAGACCCAACATATCACCCATTGTCTGTCATTCTCATCCTAAAGTAGCATCACTCCCATCCCCTTCCTAGGACCTTGATAAGTCTACCTTCCCTTTCCTAGGACCTTGATATGTCTACCATCCCTTTCCTAGGACCTTGATATGTCTACCATCCCTTTTTAATCACAGTCATGCTTCACACAGTCACTTGTCTCCCATTCCGATTCTACCCACAGTCACATGACTCCATCCTCATCCGACAAACAGTCTCTATTCCTCATCCTACACTTGTCTCTCATTCCCTTCTTACACATAGTCAAATGTCTCCCATTCCGCTCTTACGCCAAGCCAATGTCTCCCATTCCGCTCGTACACATAGTCAAATGTCTCCCATTCCGCTCTTACACACAGTCAAATGTCTCCCATTCCGCTCTTACACACAGTCAAATGTCTCCCATTCCGCTCTTACACACAGTCACATGTCTCCCATTCCGCTCTTACGCACAGTCAAATGTTTCCTATTCCGCTCTTACACACAGTCAAATGTCTCCAATTCGGCTCTTACACACAGTCAAATGTCTCCCATTCCGGTCTTACGCACAGTCAAATGTCCCCCATTCCGCTCTTAAGTACAGTCAAATGTCTCCCATTCCGCTCGTACACACAGTCACATGTCTCCCATTCCGCTCTTACGCACACTTAAATGTCTCCCATTCCGCTCTTACACACAGTCACATGTCTCCCATTCCGCTCTTACGCACAGTTAAATGTCTCCCATTCCACTCGAACACACAGTCACAAGTCTCCCATTCCGCTCTTACGCATAGTCAAATGTCACCCATTCCGCTCTTACACACAGTCACATGTCTCCCATTCCGCTCTTAAGCACAGTCACATGTCTCCCATTCCGCTCATACGCACAGTCAAATGTCTCCCATTCCGCTCGTACACACAGTCACATGTCTCCCATTCCGCTCTTACGCACAGTTAAATGTCTCCCATTCCGCTCTTACACACAGTCAAATGTATCGCATCCCGCTCTTACACACAATCAAATGTCTCCCATTCCGCTCTTACACACAGTCAAATGTCTCCAATCCCGCTCTTACACACTGTCAAATGTCTCCCATTCCGCTCTTACACACTGTCAAATGTCTCCCATTCCGCTTTCACATGTCACATGCACTCACAAATGTCTCCCATTCCGCTCGCACACAGTCAAATGTTATGCTCTTACTGTCAAATGTCTCCCATTCCGCTCGTACACACAGTCAAATGTCTCCCATCCCGCTCTTACGCACTGTCAAATGTCTCCCATTCCGCTCTTACACACAGTCAAATGTACACACAGTTAAATGTCTCCTCCCATTCCGCTCTTACACACAGTCAAATGTCTCCCATCCCGCTCTCTGTCCCCCATTCCGCTCTTACACACAGTCAAATGTCTCCCATTCCGCTCTTACACACAGTCAAATGTCTCCCATTCCGCTCTTACACACAGTTACATGTCTCCCATTCCGCTCTTACACACAGTCAAATGTCTCCCATTCCGCTCTTACACACAGTCAAATGTCTCCCATTCCGCTCTTACACATAGTCAAATGTCTCCCATTCCGCTCTTACACACAGTCAAATGTCTCCCATCCCGCTCTTACACATAGTTAAATGTCTCCCATCCCGCTCTTACACACAGTCAAATGTCTCCCATTCCGCTCTTACACATAGTCAAATGTCTCACATCGCGCTCTTACACACAATCGAATGTCTCCCATCCCGCTCTTACACACAATCGAATGTCTCCCATCCCGCTCTTACACACAGTCGAATGTCTCCAATCCCGCTCTTACACACAATCGAATGTCTCCGATCCCGCTCTTACACACAATCGAATGTCTGCCATCCCGCCATTACACATAGTCAAATGTCTCCCATTCCGCCCTTACACACAGTCAAATGTCTCCCATCCCGCCATTACACACACAGTCAAATGTCTCCCATTCCGCTCTAACACTCTTACAGACAGTCAAATGTCTCCCATCCCACTCTTACACACAGTCAAATGTCTCCCATCCTGCTCAAATGTCTCATTCCGCTCTTACAAATGTCTCCCATCCCGCTCTTACATAGTCAAATGTCTCCCATTCCGCTCTTACACATAGTCAAATGTCTCACATCCCGCTCTTACACATAGTCAAATATCAGTCAAGTCAAATGTCTCCCTCTTACCAAATGCTCCCATTCCGCTCTTACACACAATCAAATGTCTCCCATCCCGCTCTTACACAGTCAAATGTCTCCCATCCCGCTCTTACACATAGTCAAATGTCTCCCTCTTACCATAGTCAATTATCTCCCATCCGCTCTTACAAATTTCTCAAATCGCGTCTTACACACAGTCAATGTCTCCCATTCCGCTCTTACTCATAGTCAAATGTCTCCAATCCCGCTCTTACACATAGTCAAATGTCTCCCATCCCGCTCTTACACATAGTCAAATGTCTCACATCGCGCTGTTACACATAGTAAATTGACCCTTTGATGATACTACTTGTTAAGAAGCTCTCCTAATGGACTACTGCAGTGTTTGTTCAATGTCACATATTCAAGCTAAAAGACGGCTCTGCAATATTAAGCCAGAGAAAGAACCTTTCCACTGTATGGGAATATTGGAAGGTCTGTGTATCAACATGCGTATATAGGTGTACGAACATGCAGTATACATGGGTGTCACGTTCACGTGAATATAAACAAAGTGACTACTTATCAACAATCAAGTGAACTTGATGGCATTAACGCTTAACAAATTCATTTGTTAAGAAAGAATTGTCATGTAGCAATGATCAGGTTCATGGTGTTTCTGAGGCTTAAAAACAAAACGGAATCTGCGAGTTACAACAATTATGTGAAAGGCCATTGGGCATAAATCTCGCAGTTGACTATGCCACTGAAGGGTTGCTCCTAAATGTTTGTGAAAGGATACTTCGTTGACAATAGCCTTATCAATTATCAAATGTGGTTTTACTTTTACGCACAAACTGGATTGAAATCCAGCGTATGGTGTAAACTGTCATCTGTCGAATACAGAATGCGTAATAGATTCCAATAGTCTAAACGAACCTCTTAGATAGTTGCCCGAAATTATCTTGTTTCAATTTCTCGGTAGGTGCTAATAGTGAGTGGGTGAGAGAGTTTTATTTGGCGTCACATCGGCAATATGTCAGCCATATAGTGACGAGAACAATTTAATTTATACCACTATTAAAATCAATAAATTCAGAACGTAAAAACCTGTCATCGAAGGACAGTTAAAATAATAGAGTATCACAGATATATAAATTTTAAACTAGTACGCTATCGTAAAATTAAATCACTATAGACAGTACAAAATCAGAACGGACTTAAGATCACCAACAACTGAAGGTAGCTGACCATACTAGAGTCCATATGGACTTACATGAGGTAGGTGCATTAACCAACGAACTCTCTTATTCCGTGGCAGTGGCAGTAATGGTGATATTATCAGCACATGAGCGTTCATCAGTCGAGTTAAAGGAGACGATACTTGTAGTAAATGCCATGCCACATATTTAGGTATGACCGTCCCGGATCAAGGACAAGTTTCACAAGCAATATCTGTACCCGTTATTAGTATATTAGTTCCAATAAACTGATCTTTCAGCTCGATAGTAGTGAGTGAGTTAAAATTTAAGGTCACCTCGGCATTATTTCAGCCATAGAGTGGCGAGAAAGGTTGTACATACACAATAAATACAAGTACTTAAATAACCAGTCATCGACGGATGGTAAAATAATTTGAGTATCACGAAAAGAGGCTCGATGGTATGGCAAATCAATTAACTTCGTTGTTGATAAACAAATGGGGTCTTCTCAATTGACAGTTGCTCCAAGAAGGCGATTTGTAGGTGTGCGGAATGCTCGCATGACACTGAGGGCAATTGCAAGAGATGACTTCTTTGAGAAGCATTTTAGAACACATAGGCAGAACACAAAAACCGTTAAAAATTTCTTCACCAAACCTTGCACATAGATAGGTTAAGGTGAAGTGGTGCCTTTTGGTAGTTTTGGATTTCTGAATGAAATAGTTTTTCGTTTCCTTGACAAAATGTTTTACTTTGACTGAAATTGGTGGTAGTGTTCCTTTCCGGAGCGGAACTTACAAAAACTTTCAGTACTCTAATTCCACTTTGTGGGTATTCAAGAACAAAGTGACATAAATCAACAGTACCACTCTATTTCTGTATCAGCATTACTGAGGTACATCAAACCATGGAAGCGCTGAGGCAGTCTGTTGATACAAGCATGCTGGTATATGAATAGTTTTCATATATTTGTTAGATCAATGTGATGAACAATGTAACATTGACATAGTTATAACTTGTTGACATTTTCATGAAGAGTATTTTACCATTTCTGGGATCTTGATGGCTTTGTCTTCTTCTTGTATTTACAAACAAACGGCGTTACAACCAACCAATCATCCAAGCATAGTTGAAATATCTCGCATGTTTATGCCTTTAACAAACATTTGATGGGGTGACAATATGACAACACGAACTATTTGGACGCAGGTCGCATGGTTGCTCTTTTGTAGAATTCAAAATATTACTCAAAGCTTCACAAGGCGAAACCTTCACAAGGCGACACATATGGCTCTTTCATTATTCTTGATCCTTTTCCCTTGATTTTGTAAGGGCGACAATGCGATAATATCCCTTCAAAGATTTCATAGACTTCTGTGTGAAAGAGGTGATCTTTATCATGACAAATTATTCTTCTTCCTCATATGACTATGCCCACGCTTTCAAATACTTGTAATTCTACAAAAATATGTCAATGCAACAGTTTTCAAATATGTCACCTTATCAAAATGTGTCAGAAATGTGTTAAAATGCAGCAACGCGTCAATATCCCTTCTAGGAATCCATAGACATCTGTGTGCATCACACTTCATCTGAGTTTTTTCACTATGACGGTATACTGTTCTTCCTCAGATGACTGCGACAAGGGCTACACGTGGTACCGAAGCCTAGGCCTCTGCTACAAGATCTACAACTCAACAGAAACCTGGTTCCAAGCCAACCATACATGCAATCAAGACGGCGGATATCTCATCAAAGTGGACAGTACTGGCATCAATGAATTTATGAACAAGATATCGGATTATTATTGTAGGTTGCTAATGGGCAATAAAATTCCAACTAAATATCTGAAGTTTTTAAAGTCATAGACAGACATGGAAGTCAAACATCAACAGATTCGAGCACACATATATACAAAATATGTATCCGAAACACTTTACTACAAGCAACAAATTGTTTATATGCTTTTATGAGGGTGGTTTTCATTCTAAAGTCAATTATTTAGAATCTCCAATTGTGACTATAGCATCAGCATGTATTTGTTTCAGCAGTATTAGAGCTGTATGATGTTGTGTGTAAACTAATCGAGATTTGACCAGGCAATCAAGTGATTGTCACCATGCGCTACAAGTAAACATAGAAAGTGTAGATTACCTCATTTGACGAGAGAATTGTTTCGCCAGTGCAACAAAGAGCTCTAAAACACCCATGGTATAAATATATATACCCAACCTAGTTATCCCTAATACAACGAGTATAGTTATGTTATATCTTTTGCTTGGTCCTTGCCACAATCATCAGTTTGTCGAATATTTGACTTTCCTAATAATAATAATAATAGGAATAATGATAAGCTGGTTTTCTTACTGGGTTACTGGGTTACAGACAAACCAGGAGCAAACCGTCTATTAACTCCGCTGCCCAGTCAGCCTTCCTCCGGTAGTCAAACCAACCTTACTGGAGATGGGACTTGCCCAGGAGAAGGCACGGCACCCGATCAAGAATATCTTGGTCAAACCATCTGATAACCACACTACTAGAGTGTGCAAGAGCGACATGATGGCCTGCAAACCCATGAATAAACGGCAAGTCGCTTAAGCTGCATTGGGACAATGCCATGCCCATGTATGCTTTCCTGATGCAGCATAATCTGCGAGATCAATCCCGGTGGCTTAAAAATCTCATGCCCCGTGAGCCAGTTCAACCCACAACTGGTGCCCGTCAGGAACCTTTGCATAAGCAGAATGCTCAAGTAGCAGCAGATCCAAAGCTTCTGTTGGACGTCCGCGTTAACCTCTCTCCTCTTCCTGATGGAAACTCTACCGGTGTAGAGCCAATTGGCCCCGAAATTTCGGACCCTCACTCTTTCTCTTCCTCAGTTGCAGATCTTTCCGAAAATCGTGTGTATATTTTGTTTCATTCTATACTGAACATCATTGAAAACGCACCACCTGTAAATTTTGAAATATGGTAATAGGATTGTTTTTAAAGTGAAAATGAACGTTGAAAATGTTGTTAATAACACAAAAGATAGTAAATAATGCTGTACAGTAAAGAACGAATTACCCGAACACATCATGGAACACATCAAATGACAACAACAATATACATGCACAACACACACGAAAAGCACAAATTGCATGCGTAAAACATGCTTATTAGGGGTATAAATGACCGTCGGCAAAAAAACGTTCTCATTTTAGCTGTATCTTCGCAAGTAAAGTTTATCTTGCAATGCCAAGATTGTCACCAGAGGAACGACAACGAGAGTTGGGCATGTTGCAGGTTGGCACATCAAGCAGAATTATTGCCGAACGATTTGGTTACCACCATTCCACCATCATAAGACTTGCCAACAGGTACCAACAAACAGGAACCACCAGGGACCGCCAACGTCCTGGCCAGGCACGTGTTACCACCCCTCGCCAAGATGGAGACATTGTTCGGCGTCATATTCGGGATCGTACGTTGCCGGCTGCCAGAACCTCCAACGCTGTCCAAGGCCGACGTGGTTTGATCAGAGCTTCCACCGTCCGACGCCGTCTCCGTGCGGCCGGATTACGGAGTCGACGCCCTTATGTTGGACCCATCCTGACTGACAGACATCGCCGTGAACGCCGACGATGGGCTGAACAGCATCGTTTGTGGTTGTTACGATGTTGGCATGGTATTGTGTTCTCCGACGAGTCACGCTTTCATTTGCGAAATGCTGACGGGCGTCTACGGGTATGGCGTCGACGGGGAGAACGTTACCATCAGGACTGTGTTGTACAAACAGATCGTTGGGGTGGAGGCAGCATTATGGTGTGTGTGGGTGCGTGTGGGTGTGTGTGGATCAGTTATCATAACAAAACCGCTCTGGTAGTTTGTCGTGGCAGAGTGAATGCCCTTTACTACCGTGACACCATTCTTCAGAACAACGTCGTTCCCTTCTTTAACCAACATCAAGATCTGCACACATTCCAGCAGGACAATGCTCGAGCGCACACTGCACATGTTGAAACACAGTTTCAGTGTCTCCCATTGAACACTTGTGGGATTACATCGGCCAACGCCTCTCACGTCGCCCACAGATCAACCTTGGAGAACTTGAGAATGCCTTGCAACAAGAGTGGAATGCATTGCCTCAAAACAGTATTCAGAGACTTATCAGTTCAATGAGGAGACGTTGCACAACTTGTGTTGCCGCTAACGGTGGTCATACACGTTACTGACTTTCCAATTTGACTCCATCTTTCTTTCATGGTCAGCTGAATTAAAACGTCACTGCTTTGCTGGATTGGTTCTTGTTTCTTTTCTTTACTAATCATTGGACTACAAAAGTATGTAAAAATCCAAACTAATGTTCAGTATATTTATGATGAAATATCCGATTTACCTTTAGAAAAGCGGAGGCCAATTAAACAAACAACTGAATCTTTTCCCAAAACTGAAATTAATTGATTAAATGATATTATATCTATGAAACTTTCCGCGGACTGTTCAGTACATGAAGTAAATTGCTGTGTCTATGCTGCCTCTCGAACCGTGGAGGAACTTCACACGGTTTCCAAAGTTATAAGAAAGTTACCAAAGAAAAAACAGTTTCAAGTAACACTGATGGAAACTAGAAAATACATTTCCTCGATAGAGCTGTGCCTGAAGTTAAGATCACCAGGGAATCCCATGTCTAAACGACAAAAGGCTATTTGGAGAAAATTAAAATTACAGTATAAGACAACGAAAGAAAACATACTTCTCCAAATTGTCGATTCCCTAAAGGCAAAAATAAAGCTTTGGACTGAAAGAAAGAAAAAATGGGAAAAGAAAATTCATCAAACAAAAAAATATTTTTAGAAATAATGAAAAACACTTCTACAGGCAACTTTAAACAAACGGTGATGGTGAGCATGATAAACGGCCTCCCATGGAAGCCAATGAAAGGTTCTGGAAACAGCTGTGGTCTGTACCCGACGACTGTAACCTTGAGGCACCATGGGTCCGTGATTATGACCATGCAATGCATAAGAAACTAACTAGGACGTTTGTCTGTTACGTCTCACCAGATTGCCTGAAAAGTGTTATCAAAACGTCCACATCTAATACAGCTCCAGGGCCTGATGGCATTCGAAACCGGTACTGGAAACTATTCTCCTGTGTCCAAACACCATTACTTCACTGTTACAGTTCTCCCGTGGACCCAGGGGATGTTCCTCCATGGTTCTGCGAAGGTCGCACAATACTCCTTCCCAAAAAAGGAGACTTGACTGATCCCAAAAAGTTCCACCCTATCACATGTTTGAATACTCAATACAAATTATTCACACCTTATTTGACAAATCTCGTGTCATCATACTGCTCTGCTAATGATATAATGTATAGAGAGCAGAAGGGATCAAGAAAGGGTTGTTGGGGGTTCAAGGATCAACTTCTTGTACAGAAAATGATTTAGGGAGAGGCTGAAACATATCACCGCAACCTCTCCATGTTTTGGATTGACTACAAAAAAAGCATACGACTCTGTCCCTCATAAATGGATTCTTTAGTTTCTTCATTGTATTGACCTCCCGGAGCGACTACTTGATTTACTCAAGTCTTTAATGAGTTGCTGGTCGACTCAACTTGAGATGTACTCGTAAGGGCAGGTGCAGACTTCGGAATCTATTCCAATCAGAAGGGGAATTTTCCAGGGGGACTCCTTCAGTCCTTTGCTTTTTTGTTTGTCTCAAAATCCTTTGAGCTTTCTGCTCAACAGAGAGGAGGGTTACCATCCCCGGACCATCCTCAGCAAAGATCCCCAACACCCCTTACTCATCTCCTTTACATGGATGACATCGAGCTCCTTGCCAAAGGAGACACCAATTTGACAGAACAGGTTCTCCTTGTCGAGTCCTTTTCTAATGATACTGGCATGACATTTTGATTCGACAAATGTAATACTGTTCATTTGAAACATGGCAAGGTAGTTAATGGTGGTTCGGTCAAGTTACAGGGGGGAGGCGTTATTGAGCATCTTATGGAAGATCAGGCCTACATCTATCTTGGAATGCAAGTTCGAGACAAGTTCCAGAGTGCCCAAATTCAAGACAAACTTCGGGCCGAGTAAAAATCTCGCTTAAAGAAAATCTGGAGCTAAGAGCTAAATGCTCGAAACAAGGTCAAAGCCACCAATACTTTTGCTGTGCCAGTCCTTTCCTATTCCTTTGAGTAGTTTATTGGACAAAACAAGACATCCAGAGTCTTGACCTCCTGACCAGAAGGATCATGTCTGATAACAGAACCCAACACCCTCGGTCCTCTCTTAACCGTTTATATATGCCAATCAGTTCTGGAGGTCGGGGTTTGATTAATGTGGAGGCTCTTCATGATAGAATTTTATTGTGTACTTTGCACATATTAATTTATCGGATGATCCTCTGGTGATGCCTGTCAAGACTCATGATGAAAGCAAGGATCCCCACAGCTATTTTAAGCGTGCCAAAGTTGTTGGACAGAATCTGAAATTTGAGGTTGATTTTGTTGATGGCGTTGTACTGCTGGACGGTACAGTGATGGTAGTAAACCAGGTGAAGTTATTCACCAAGTCTGCTCAGAGTCGGTCTTTTGCGGAGAAGCTTTCTGAGAAGCCATTGCATCGTGTGTACATGCAGTGTGTGGAACAGAATAGCAATCCCACCGACGCCTTCGCCTGGATGAAGTCGGCTGGTCTTAAATGTGAAACTGAGGGCTTCCTTTTTGCTGCTCAGGACCAGTCACTTCCCACTCGTAATCGCCAAATGTGATTCTTAAGAAAATATCAATATGAAATGTCGAATATGTAATGTATTTACAGAGACTGTCCAGCACCTTGTCAGTGGATGCCCTTCTTTGGCACAAACAGCATATCTTAAACGACATGATGGCATGGCTCGTTACTTTTACTACCGTCTCCGCCATGTCTGTGGCTTTGACTCCGAGGTGGCTTTGACTCCGCATGCTAAATATGCGGACCTCGCCTTTGAAATTTCTCGCTTGCATCCCAAGTACACCATGCTCCCCATTGTTCTCGTTGCCCTTAGTTTGGTATCTCCTGATCTCTTGGCGCAGAGTGCCCGGGTTCTCCACCGGGAGCACAGCCCTTCTGACACTCTGCGTAATGCAGAAGGCTGCAGAGTTGGGGACCCTTCATATTCTCCGAAAGTACTTGGTGGGTTCGACCTAGCTGTGTTTTCTGGGAGAAGACCCATTTGCTGTCTGGGCTGCTTGTAGAGGGGGCAAGGGACGTGAGCTGATGATGAGCCTTACCAGCCTGACTGTGCCAGGATCACCCGAACCCTATCTGCTGCATTTTCATCATAACCTTTCATAATAATAATAGTGCCAGGATCACCCGAGCCCTCTCTGCTGCATACTATATTTAATCTTTAAAACATAAAAATACATTTGTAAAGCGCCTAATATCCACCTTACAGATGCTCAGTGGCGCTTAGACAGTGATAAAACTAGAACATATATACATTAATCAGAGAATGATTATCTACTGGTACACAGATAGAAAAAGGTGAGTCTTAAGCTCTGATTTAAAGGTGTCTCTAGGGGTTGTAATTCTGAGGTTTTGGGGAAGTGAATTCCAGAGTTGAGGGCTGATGAAAGAGAAGGCGCGCTCGAAACATCCATTTAGTGATTTTGGTTGAGTCAAGAGAGTCACTGGAGGATCTGAGATGCTGCTGAGGTGAGTAAGGGAAGATAAGTTCTTTGAGATAGGACTAGACAGTCGTGAGTCAGGGTGAGGAGTTTTAAGTTAATTCTTGCAGAGATGGGAAGCCAGTGAAGTGACTGAAGCACAGTAGAGGTATGTCATAGCGAGAAGAACGGGAGATACATCGGGCAGCTGAGTTCTGAATTCTTTCCTCTCATATATCTCCACATCTGACTGACAAATTGTCAGTACAAGTAATATGAATTCTGCCGGAGGTGATTACAAAACCATAGCCACATGCACGTCTTTGTTTCTCCAACTTCATTCAGCGCCAGCGTTAGTATATATCTGTGTTTGTGTTCACAGCTGTCTTTATCTGGCTGGGTGGTGTTCAAGATGATCTCAGTGGAAAGTGGACATGGACAGATGGAAGTGTCATCAGTCCAGCCTACTGGATGGATGGTCAACCAAGCACAGAATCAGAAAAGTGCATAGGAGTGCACAAAGTTTCTACAAACTTGATAAGAAGGTGGAATGATTTCCCCTGTATATTTTACCATATTTCCATGTTTGTGTGTCAGCTGCCTCTGAAAGAAAAGCCTTACTGTTGATAATGGGCAATAATACAATTGCTGTCAGCAACATATGCTCAAATATGATGCTGCAAACGTCAAACTAAACAGATTGCGGCACCCGAGGGGTACTGCACCAATTGATGCCACAAATCAAATATAGGAATCAAGCAGCAATGATTGCGGCACCCGAGGGGTACTGCACCAAGTGAAGCAAAAATCAAATATAGGAATCAAGCAGCAATGATTGCGGTACCCGAGGGGTACTGCACCAAGTGAAGCACAAATCAAATATAGGAATCAAGCAGCAATGATTGCGGCACCTGAGGGGTACTGCACCAAGTGAAGCACATATCAAATATAGGAATCAAGCAGCAATGATTGCGGCACCCGAGGGGTACTGCACCAAGTGAAGCACATATCAAATATAGGAATCAAGCAGCAATGATTGCGGCACCCGAGGGGTACTGCACCAAGTGAAGCACATATCAAATATAGGAATCAAGCAGCAATGATTGCGGCACCCGAGGGGTACTGCACCAAGTGAAGCACAAATCAAATATAGGAATCAAGCAGCAATGATTGCGGCACCCGAGGGGTACTGCACCAAGTGAAGCACATATCAAATATAGGAATCAAGCAGCAATGATTGCGGCACCCGAGGGGTACTGCACCAAGTGAAGCACATATCAAATATAGGAATCAAGCAGCAATGATTGCGGCACCCGAGGGGTACTGCACCAAGTGAAGCACAAATCAAATATAGGAATCAAGCAGCAATGATTGCAGCACCCCAGGGGTACTGCACCAAGTGATGCTACAAATCAAATATAGGAATCAAGCAGCAATGATTGCGGCACCCGAGGGGTACTGCACCAAGTGATGCCACAAATCAAATATAGGAATCAAGCAGCAATGATTGCGGCACCCGAGGGGTACTGCACCAAGTGATGCCACAAATCAAATATAGGAATCAAGCAGCAATGATTGCGGCACCCGAGGGGTACTGCACCAAGTGATGCCACAAATCAAACATAGGAATCAAGCAGCAATGATTGCGGCACCCCAGGGGTACTGCACCAAGTGAAGCACAAATCAAATATAGGAATCAAGCAGTAATGATTGTGACAACCAGGGGTACTGCACCAAGTGAAGCACAAATCATTAAGCAATAGCAATAGTGACAACCAAGGGTACTGCACTTAGTGATGCCACAAACCAACCATGTACTTAGCCTACTCACAGTTCATTTCACCTCTGCGGGTTTGGTCACACCGAGATGTCGCTGTAAGATGGCGGCCGGACTTGGAAAGCAGACCCACAGGGTCGAAAGCACAGCAATATTTCCCTTTACGAGCTCGCGTCGAAATCAGCCTCTTTTATGTATTAATGAGAAGTAAGAGAATTGGCCTTCTCCCAAACGATTACATTGCCTGTTCCTTATGCCGTGTGTGTAAAGGAGTGGTAATGACACAATAATGCACTGAATCAAGGATAACTGTATACTGATCATGTCGTTTGTAGACAATAGCCATTTGTTCCTGCCTCCTCTGTGTAAACAACCATAACTCTTCTCGATTGATCGACCATATTGAGCGCCTGTTCTTAGACCTGTATCTCATTGTTTATTGAATATAACAATCTAATTCCTCATTCGTAAAATAATTGTCGAATCCATAATACACTAATGATAATAATACAACAAAACTCAGTGATCAGACACCCCAACATACCTAATTAGCAAACTTGATGTGAAACATTCTAAGACAATGTTCTGTTTAAAAATGTGTTCTCGATTACCGATGCCATGTGCAATGCTAGCTCACTACGGTGCCAGTAAGAGTTGTCATCGTCAATAGGAAGATCTTTCCTAATCATTGTTCATCATGCACCTGTGCCAATGATTTATCCTTTGACACAACTGAGATTTGGGGTTTCCAATATTCGTTGATGATTCAATCTCAGAGCTGGCTGTGCAACCAAAATATCACTCAGCATATCACAAATGTCTTTTCTGATGTATGTAATGTTATTTTCACTAGAAACTGAAATGTTCAATCGAATTAGACTTAGCAATGAAATTAGCCATGTTATTTCTTATCAAACTCTGCATCTGGCCTTACTAGCTGCATAACGTGTCCTCTAACGGGGATATTCAAGGTGATCAAGTCATCAAGACACACGTTTCCCATCCCAACCCAACATGGTCACCCGATAGTGAATTGTTTCCAACCCCCACCAAGCACACTTCATGACTCCAAACCCGTACATCACACAACCACATGCTTCGCACCGCACACCCTACACAGTTACATGTTTCCAGTGCTGCCCTAAAGACACATGCCTACACCCTACACATGCAGTCACATGTTGTAAGCTGAAACACACCAGCATCATGTTTGATTCAAACGTCCAAACACAACAGACTAGTGCATGTGGAAGAAAGACTTGCCATGCAGCTTGTGGCAACATTTCCTTTAAAAGAAGCTACAGACAACATTGAAGCCTCACAACCTGTTCACCATGCGCTAACCGTTAAGCGCCAACGACAGGAGGGCCAATGCATGGTTACAGGACGGTAAATCCATAAGAAGTGCTGCTCGCCGTCTTCAGGTGTCTACCTCTGTGATTCACTCAAACTGAAGGAATTTTGGATCATTTGCTTCACTGCATGTTCCAACATGTCGTTTACAGTCCCCATTTAGCACACAAAAAGTTGCATTTACTGTAGAGTATAAATGGCCTCACCACGTTTAAGTTTAAATATGACAAACAAATTTTAAGGTGTTCCCATATTTTTGTTTGTAGTATTTTCCAGCTGAGGCGGTACTTCTAATTTTTGAGACAATTTATCATCGGACTATCTTTTGAAATCTATTTTCGACGTGACTATTCTACATGTAATCTTGTTGAAGTCTTATTTCTAACTGTTTTTGAAAGGATACCTCGCGAATAATATCGTTATCAGTTATCAAATCTGGTTTTACTGTTATGGATAAACTCGTCTTTGTAGAATGAAAAAATTAGCCCTGAAACCACTTAGATGACATCGAGATTCTAAACGCTTGAACCATACAAGCAGTTTAACCCTGATAATGTAGGACTGACGCTTATATATTATGCCTTTATGTCAAACATTATCGAAGGCCTTACTGATATCAACATTTGGGTTATATGAATACAAAATGCCATTTAGAAAGTGGTCCAGTGTAACATATGTTATATTTGGGATTGCACTTTCTCAGTAAAGTACAAATTCTAGTACTTTTGTTGGTCGAGTCACATGCGGGATTCGAACCCACGCCCTCAGAGTCGCCAGCACACAAACTCAGCCGCCTAACCCGTTGTCCATCTCAACGTGAAATGCGTCTTGGAATCCTGCGAACTATCGAGATACAGATTTAAACACAAAGAGCACCACTAGTCGTTGTCTTTCTCAACATCTTTGGAAATTGTCTTTTGTTCATGACTGATAGACGAGCTTGTGTTTGGCGCCCCAGACACACTCTATATGCACAGTGGAATAACTTGTAGCAAATAACCATTTGGCACAGGTTCATTGATGGCATCCTTGGCAGGGTTAATGTACCGCATTTCAATGACCTTCCCCAGAGCACAAGGCCAGTCTTCATGGACGTATGTGCCGTTGGTTATTACGTAGGTAAAAGGGCGCTGTCGGCCTACATATCGACTCACAACCCCACCCTACACAGCAAAATGTCCCCTACCCCTATCCTATACAGTCATATGTCTCCCATCCCGACCCTACAGAGTAACACTCTCCCACCCTACCCTACAGTCACATATCTTTCACCCCATCCAACAGAGATACATATTTCCCATCCAACCCTACACAGGCACATGTTTCCCAACCCCACCCTACAGTCGCATATCTTTCACCCCATCCAACAGAGACACATGTTTCCCATCCAACCCTACACAGGCACATGTTTCCCAACCCCACCCTACAGTCACATATCTTTCACCCCATCCAACAGAGACACATGTTTCCCATCCAACCCTACACAGGCACACGTTTCCCAACCCCACCCTACAGTCACATATCTTTCACCCCATCCAACAGAAACACATGTTTCCCATCCAACCCTACACAGGCACATGTTTCTCAACCCCACCCTACAGTCGCATATCTTTCACCCCATCCAACAGAGACACATGTTTCCCATCCAACCCTACACAGGCACACGTTTCCCAACCCCACCCTACAGTCACATATATTTCACCCCATCCAACAGAGACACATGTTTCCCATCCAACCCTACACAGGCACATGTTTCCCAACCCCACCCTACAGTCGCATATTTTTCACCCCATCCAACAGAGACACATGTTTCCCATCCAACCCTACACAGGCACATGCTTCCCAACCCAGCCGTACAGTCGCATGTCTCCCACAATCACCCAACACAGTAACATGACTCTCACCCACACCCTGTACAGTAACATACATGCTTATCAGTTTCACATGCCTCCCACCCCAAAGTTACATGTCTCCCACCCCCACCCTACCCAGTTACATGTTTCCACTGCAAGTTGAACCCTAAAGTCACATGTCTCCCAATAACACCCTACACAGTCAAATATATTCCACCCCACCCTACAGATTCACATGTCTCCCATCCCCATCCTACACAGCTAAATGTTTCCCAACCCACCCCAATCCCACGTGCACCGTAGACAGTCACCCTCCTTCAAACAACCTCTAATCTACAGATGTATGACGCTCACCAGACCGAAGTTGTTTTGTTCCGTTCTTCCAGTCGAGTTAATATTTCAAAACACTCATAGTCCCTAGTACAGTCCATACCTTCAGTTGTTGGCGATCTATAGTCTGTTTTATATTTAAGAAATACAGTTCGCTCTACCACCATGTTTAGTGTCATAAAGCACATTTTCGCCCTGAACTATTATAGTTAAAGTACGAGGACGCTTGATAACAGTTTGATGACGGTTTACGTTCGGATTAAATAACTTCTCTAAATTATTTTAATTACACCTGTGATTAACGTAAACCATATGGGGCAATATGAACGTCGCATTTCTACTATCAAAGTAAGTTTAG